GCGGCCCTCCGGCGCCCGCTGCGGAGCCAGCCTCTCCAGCACGGCCTCTGCGACCTCAGTTTTCCCGTTTGCAAAGTGCACCCGCACCTCCCGGCCCAGTGCTGCCATGACCCTGTTAGAACGGGCGGGGGAGGAAGGTCTGGGACGAATCCTGGCGATCTGCCTCCATGGGGGGCGTCGGTTTGACTATCAGAGGTGCCCCTGGGGCCCAGCCCCACCCTGGAGTCGGGGGGGGGCAAGAATGTCCAGAGAGGCCCCGTTCCGGGACCCCTGTCCAGCGGGAAGGGGCCCCCAGGAAGTCCTGTTTGAGGCGGGCCTTGAAGGCTGGCTGGAGTTTGGGCCGCCTTTGGGGGGAGGCAGACATTCCTGTGTGTTGAAGGCCCCCTGTGCCCCTGATCGCGGTCTGGGCCTGCATTTCCCGGAGCCAGGCCCTCAGTCCCTAGGTGGGGCTTCCAGCAGCCCCCCCTAGGGGGAAGATGCTGACCTCCGGCAGCTCCAAAAGGGAATGGGGGAGGGCTTTGCGTGGTGACAGGGGAGAAGGGGTGCCGCGGGGCCCAGAAAAGGACACCCACCCAGCACCTCCCGTCACCCGGGCTTCATTCCGCAAACCTGTCTGGAGGCCAGGCCCTGAGCTGGGGGCAGACACCCTGAAGAACTGGGGCTCTTGTGGGGAAGGGGGCGCTGACTCGAGAAGGGCTGCGATGACTGGGACAGCCCAGGACCCAGGGGGGAACCCGCATAGTGTCCTGTGCCTTGGGGCCCAAGACCCCTCCCCTGAGGAATCTGAACACCTGGGTGACTCACCTCCGGACACTTGTTCCCTGGGCCAGTTTCTCCAACAACTGACTCCCCACCCTGAGGCCTCCAGTCGATAACAATCCTTTTGTAAAAGGAAGACTCTTGGGAGCCACCATCAGGGGTGGTAAGTATTTGGGTGGGGGGGGGGTGTTTTTGTTTTTCATCCAGGGTCAGAGTTCAGCCTAGGGTGCGGGGAGGTGTGGATACTCAGTCTGGCCAGAGGCTCACCTGCAGCCAGGTGTAGCTAGCCCCATGCCCAGGGTGGGGCTCTGTCCACAGCAGAGATAGGGGTCTGCCCCTGCCCCTCAGGGCTGGACAAGGGTAGGACACCCCTCAGAGAAGGGCAGGGGACTCCCAGTTCCCAGCCTCTCCCCTTAGCACCTCTGACCCTCCTCCCCCGCCCCCACCCCCACAAGTACAGCTGTCCCAGCTTGGACTGTGTAGACCCCTGGGCAGGGCTCTGCCTCCAGGCGCCCGAGTCATAGGTCTCTGCTGCCTGGGCCGGATGCTGACCCAGGCTCCCCCAGAGCCAGGGTGTCCAACGTCCGTCCATCACCCACCACTCACCCAGCAAACCCTCACCGTGCCCCCTGGGCTCCTCTGTCCTGCGTGGAAATTGCTCTCCATCCCAGGGGGGCCTCCTACCTGCCCCCTGCCACCCCCCTCAGGGCTCAGCAGAGGCTGGACAGGCCAGGTCAGCACAGCCTATGCGGGAGCACGCCCTCTCACGGAAGACTGTGCAATTCCCCAGGCCACTCATCCACTGGCCATTTGGGGAATGGCTTCATCACCGGGGTCCACGATGTCCCAGCACCTGGCCCGTCCGCAGGAGGCAGCCCACCTGCTCCAGCCCTGAGCCTCTGAACCCAGCAGCCCCTGCTCTGAGCCCCCACCCTGCTCAGAGCAGTGCCCAGCTCATGTGCGCCTCTGCCTGGACCTGCCTCTCCCACCCTGTCCTTCAAAACTGGGCGCCCGGGCAGGCAGGCCAGTCCCACCTCCTCCGGCCTCCTCGAGGGAAGAACAGCCCCCTCCCCAATTACAACGAGAGGGCCCATCTGTGTCTACCCCACTGGCCGCTGCCGGGCCACCTAGCAGTCCTTGGCCAGATGTTTCCACGAGAACTGCAGCACCACCCCCCGGGAGCGCACTCCACCTGTCCGCTCCCGGAGCAGGGCCTCCCACCCTGTCACCTCTGCAGCTGCCGGCCGTCAGGGGGACCGCGCGGGGCAGGCAGCCGGGCTGCTGCGAGTCTCGGCGGCAGCTGCAGGGCGGGGCCTCTGGGCAGCCCCCAGGCCAGATGGCGGCCTGGCCTGCACGCCTGGGGAGGCTCTGCCTACGCCACCCGCTGACCGCTGACTGGGTCTCTTGGCCTCCTGTCATGCCTGGACCTCGCCGGCCCAGGAAAGGATCCGAGGCCCAAGGCCAGTGGGCTCCTGAAGCCCATGGCCACGTGGAGGTAGCCTCTCAACACCTTGACTCCTTGGACAGCCCCTCCCCCAGCGCGGTGGACTTGAACTCAGTCCTTCCACACAGAGGGCCTGTCTCCCACTCTGCCCCCATCAGTAAAGTCCCTGCCTCCTCCAGCCCAGCCCAGGGTTCCCGCAGGCGGGTCCCCACCTGCCTCGGCCCCTCTGCCCCCACAACCCATCAGGTCCCAAAGGAGCTCCTTGACCCGCTCATCTCGCCCCCTCCCCACCCCAGGGCCTCACTCCCAGGCCTGGAGAGGGGCTGTCAGAGCCTAGCAGGGCGGCCTCCCCTCCTCCCTCTTGGGCACAGGGGCCAGGGCTGGGCCAGGAGCCACCACCAGGATCTCCCACACCAGTGAGAGATTTGACAGTGAACAAAACACAGTCCCTTCCAGCGGGCAGGGGTCAGGAGACCAGACCAACAGATCCATGAATGACATCAAGTTCCCGAAGAAGACCGAGGCAGAGTGGGGCGGTGCAGAGGGGCGCTGGGGAGGTCGATGTGGGGACATAAACTAGTGAGAAGAGGCAGGGCAGGGCTACCTGGGGACGAACCTTCTGGAAGACCTGCTACCTGCCTTGCCCGCCCAGCGTTTAAGCTGCACAAAGACCCCCTACGAGGCACTCTTTCCCATTTTGCAGATTCAAAGAGCTTCAAAGGGTCTTATCCCAGGCCAGGAGGGGGGCAGAGGTGGGCCTGTCCCACTCTGAACTTGACTTTGAATTCAGCTCTTCCTGCTGAGGGTGGGGCAGTGGGGGGGAAGGGGGTATATTTAAATGGACTGAAGGAAGAGTTGACCCCCCACGGGGAGGTGTCCCCACACCAGAGGGGCAATGGGGCCAGAGCACTGCTGTCCCTCTGCCGTCTCCGGCAAGTGACTCCAAGGTTGGAAGCTACAGCTGCCAGATTTAGCAAATAAAAACACAGGCTGCCCGGTCGGATTTGAATTTCAGAGTTTTAGTGTAAGTTTTTGCTTTCTTTCCACACACACGAGATCCAGACCGCAGTCAGGTCTACCAGATAGCTGGGCCCCAGGGCCTCTGGCTGCTCCTCCAGCCCCCAACCCACCGGGTTCCAACCAGACCCCTCCCGGTGCTCTGGTCCCTCCTGCCTGGTACACATGTCACAGCTGGTTGACCTGTCCTCCCAGGCTCCTGACTCCTCCCACCACTTCCTCTCCCCAAATCCAGTCACTGGGGGGGGGGGCCCATCCTTCTAACCTGGTCCCTCCTCCAGCGCCGCCCCCACCCGTCTGGGTGACTACACCAGCCTCGGCAGTGGGGTGCTGTCCCCGCCCTCACCTCCTGGGCTCCATGAAGTGCAGAGTGGGACTCAGAACCAGGCTGCCCAGATGTGAATCATGGTCTGGGTCTTCCCATCCACTGTTTGGCCCTGGGCCCCTTACCTAACCTCCCACCAAAACGGGAAGGAGCCTCTGATCAACAGGGTGGTCTTGAGGATGACCTGTGCAGTGGGGACAGATAGCTTAAGGTCCCTCCAAGTGGGCTCAGTCAAGGGCAGCCCCGGTCAGGTCCTTGACCAGCAGCACCCCACAGTCAGACCCCAACCTCTCCAACCCCCACCCTCTCTTCGTTGGTGGTTTTCTTCTCCCACAGAGCCAGGTGTCTCTCACACCTTCATGCCAGCTCCTCCCACCTGTGATGCCTAGCCCCCTGGGTGCCAGCTCCCTCTGGCTGCCACCTCTCCCCACCCCCCAGACTTTCCTGCCTGCCCTCCCGATTCCACCCCACCCCGTTTTGCTGGGACTGTCCTGTATCCCATGTCTCCCCGGCACCAGTAGACGCCCGCTAGGACCTGCTGGCCGGGGGGGGGGGGGTGGATGTCCCCTGCTCTGGGCGGCCAAGGTCGAGATCCCAGGTGAGTGTGTGGATGAGGGTCCCAGCTGAGATCACATAAATTCACAAGGAGGCTTCCCACGAAGGAGTGTCATCGTGTCAAAATTTAGGGGCTTTGCCCCCCACGCGCCCCCTCCCCGATCCCAGCCCCGGCTCCCAGCTTGCTGCCAGGAGGCCGGGGTCCGGGCTGCGCCCTCGGGTGACTGTCCCAGAGCGGGCTGGGGAAGGGGCTGGCCCTCGGAGGGGGTCCCTTTGAGGACAAGCGCGGCCAGGACCTCAGGGCGACACGAGGCCAAGGCGGCAAGTATCGCGAGAGAGCCCCCTCTCCCGCCGCGTCCCGCCCCCGCCCCGCGGGCCCCATCCGGGCGGGGCGGCAGGGGGGCCGGCAGGGAAGGGG